GGCCGGGGGGAAATGATTTGTTTGTTTATTTGGTTTTGCTGCGGGTTTTTTTCCCCGCAGAAGCAGTAGGGACGCGGTGACAGCGCTGAATCGTGCCCTCTGGGCTGACCGAGCCGCAGCCCTTCCCGGCCAGCTCGCAGGGCTGCTGCCGTGATCGCGGCACAGAACCCCTCCTGCGCCACCCAGTCCCCCAGATTCCCCCAAATTAGGGATCTCCAGATCTGCCCCGCGGACCCGGCCGCCTCCGGCCGCTCCGCTCCCTGTCAAGCGCTGCCCCGGAGAAGTGGGGAGCTGGGCCGAGATCCTCGGGAGTTACTGACTGGGGACGCCCGGGACAACGAGCCTTCACCCTACCCCCAGTATTTCCTGCGTGGATTCACAGAGGGGGGCAAAACGGTCCCGTTTTCCCACCCCTGGGCAAACAGTCAGAGCTCCCAGCCCGGTGCTCCGTGCTCTAGGGACCGGCTCACCGCGATTCCCTTCGTGGAAGAGTAGACGTGGGGCAGGGGGAGTGACCGGCCTTCCCCGAATCATTCCCGACAGGAAAAAAAAGCGTCAAACCCCTTAAATCCCACAGGTCCTGGCCCGCGGAGGTGAAAACTCTCAATTTGGCAAAAGGGTGCGGGGAAGCATGGAAGGGCTTTGCGGAGTGGTCTGAAGGCCCGGTGGTCCCCCAGCACCCACCCCGTGGGGGGCTGCGGTGTCCCGTGTCACCCCCGTCGGGGTGGGCGTGGGCGCTGGTCGCGGGCAGGTGCGGGCAGAGGCTGCGCTCCTGCCGCGGGCAAGGCGACTCCCGAGGGTCTCAGTCCAGCCCGCATCTCAGCCACCGCTGTTGCCTCCTGACAGAAACCCCATTTCTCAAACGTAAGAGCCGGACCACCCCCCCTCCCACTCCATACCCATCCTTCATCCCCAAACTTGACACTGCCTTAGATTTCGTTCTGAGGTGTGAAGGGAGAGGAAGGTGAGGCGGCGGTGGGGGTGTTGTCTGCTTGGAAATGCCACCCTTTAGTGTTTGGGTGGGGAGGGGGTACGCTTTTTCTTTTTCCTGAGAGGGGTGGGGAAGATCCATATTTGATCTTGTTCACTTCACACAGGGCTCCCAGACGGAGAATAAAGCCCCCTCCTGAATTATCCAACAGGGCTGAAGCAGGTTGAGTCAGTGAAATTCAGTTCCTTATTTTATGAGGTGTCAGGGCTGATGTCGAATATGGCAACGATAACTAATACTACAGTCTGAGGGACCAGAACGTGGTAATTAATCCCAAAGACTTAAGTGTATTTTAGATCAGGAGAAAAAAAATCACTAATTCAATCGTCCGGAAAATTGAAGTTTGATGCATGAGTCTCTGCTGAAAGGAAAGGCTTTTTCTTCCCTATTCTGGGGTTGGGGCAGGAATTGCAGCCTCTCTCCTCCGCTCCCCAGAAAGGCCCCGGTACAGGGCCGCTGCCAGCCCGCCCCTGGCCCGCGGCACACCGGGGACGGGCACGCCGAGGGACGGGGGAGGCAGAGGGCTCTCCCTGCTTTCCTCTGCACCCTACATGGTCCATCCCGCTTGCCCCCCGCAGCAAACATTACACATTCGCTAGCATATCGTCACCGTTCCCTTGTGTCGCGACATGCGGAAAGACTGCCGTGCAGAGCAGCGCGTCCCAGCCACT